GTAGGTGCAGCCACACTCACCTCGGAAGCTGCCACGTCACTGCTCGGCCCCACACGCCCCGGGATGCCCGGGGCACACGAGGAAGCGCCTGCTCACCCCGGGGCAGGAGCTGCTCCCATTCCCAGCCCGGTGCCACCTCAGCGCTGCCGCCCCCTCCCCGCTCCCGCCGACCCTCCTCTCACCCCGCGCAGGACAAGGGCCCTTTGTTTGGGGACAAGCGCCCACCCCCCTTCAGCTGCACTCAAGGCAGGAAACCTCCCCGAAACCGCCGGCTCGGCGTGAAAATGTACCGTGGGGAAGAAACAGGGGGAAAAAAAGCCCCTCTGCACGTGAACTCTGCACAGCCCGGGACAGTGAGTGTATCCACACGGGGATCCGGGTGGGAAGGACCCTCGTCCGAGGGAGGGAGCAACCCCAGAGGTGATTTTCTCTGTCCCACTGCTGCGGCAGGAGCACTCCCAGCACGGCTGTGGCCAGAGGTGGGAGTCCCTGGGGAAGCTCTGCACCCTTTGGACCATCAAGGTTGGATGGTCCAAAGCTCTGTGCAAGGTTTTCTCCACTGATTCTGTGATTCCGTGACCAGTGCCAGGGCAGGGCTGGCACATCTGTCCCCTTGCACGGCAGCTGTGCCACAAGGCTGGCAGGGATACCCTCCAGGAACGTCCTCCAGGGATATCCTCTAGGGATGCCCTCCAGGGATACTCTCCAGGGATGCCCTCCAGGCTGGTACATCACCCCTACACTCAGGTGGGTACCATCCCCTGGCCCAGGGCTGCTGTGTGTCAGACCACTGGGAATGACCCTGAGCACATCTCCGAGCGGAAAACATGGATCCCCTGGAGTTTTAGCCAAAACAAAGCACATCTCCCCATCCTCCCTTCCCAAAACACCACTGCTCTTACCTGCAGGCTCTCAGGACACAAGCTGGGGTGAATATTTGGGCTCTGTCCTTCCTGCACGTGGGAAGGACGGGGTGGGAAATGTCTTTTCCACCATCCAGCCGAGCATCCAGAAGAGATTTAACTGCATGTGAGAGCTTCTGGGAATTTGCACTCATTTCAGGATTCAGTAAAACCTTAATCTACAGCATAATCTCTGAGCATCACATCTGTGCAAGGGACAGAGGAATGGGGGGAGCTGCTGGCAGGGGCTTTGTCCCAGCAAAGGCTGCTGGAGAGGCCATTGCCAGGAGGTTGGTGGTTTGCTTGGGGGGCTGGAGGGGTCTGAAGACCCCCAGAAACATGAGGAGCTGCTCAGTGCATGGGGGATCTCTCCTTCCAGGCCTGCCACCATCTTCCAGCTGTGGGAAGAAAGGACCTTGGCAGCAGCAGCAGTCACCCCTTGATGCACTCAGTGCTGTGAAGGAGCAGCTCTGTTGCCCTCAGATGAAGCTCTGTGGTTTTTGGGGGGCTGTGGGAGGGGGTTGGACCAGCCCCTAGAGCAGAAGACACAATCCTGTGGCTTGCATCCTGAACACCCACATGGACCCTCCAAGACAGGCAACCTTTCCCATGTGGGGACACTACAACCCTTCTCCTCCCCCAGACACCCATTTAAATAAAATTATTCCCTCTGGAGTTCAAACTATGGACAGGCAGGACCTGCACAGACCAGCATGTCACAAGGCTGGGGCCAAGAAACGGCCTGAACCCCTCGGGCTGGATGGGGGCCAGAACTGGCCCAATTTTCCAGTTTCTCCCCTTCTCAAGGAGCTGGGGAAGGGGTAAGTCAAAGCTGTGTGTCCTGTGGGAAGGGATGAGTCAAAGCTGTGTGTCCTGTGGGAAGGGATGCTGCTGCTACCTGGAGAACTGCATCCCAAAGGTGGCACATCCCGGTGCCAGACAGGCGGGAGCTGCACAGGGAGGCACAGGGTACAGGGCAGATCCAGCTGCTGAGTTACCCTGGCCCCACAAGGAGCAATTATTCCAAAATCCCTCATGGAGGTACTAAGAAATCCCTCCTCAGGTGGGGGGGAGCACCAGCTCCTCCTGCAGCTCTTATCCCACACAGCCCTCACAGCTGATGCGGGGTGGATTGGAGCTGGGGGCACATCCTACCACAAACAGAGCATCTCCCCAAAAACCCAGGCACCATAAGGAAGCTCCCGAGGCCCAAAGCAGGGCTGTGACTCCGCTGTCCCCCACCAGAGGAGCCGAATCCCCCACCAAAGCCACGGCGAGGTTTCCTTTGCCGCCTGAGCGATGTCTCACATCCTCCCCGACCATAATGGGCTGAAAAACACAGTTCCCCTGTGGATTCAGCCCGTTTCCTTCTATTCTTTAACAGGAAGCTCTGTGAGAGTCAGCCCAGGCAGGCAAACCCTCGCCCTGCGCTCCTTCCCGGCATGGCCAGAGCCTCGGCGGGGCTCCGGAGCCGCAGCCGCCGCGGAGATGCTGCTCCCGTCCATCCCTCTGCTCCTCTGGCTCTTCCTGCTGCTCCCAGGTGAGCTGCTCCACACTCCAGGGAGCGGGAGGTGGTGCTGGATGGGGGGAGCTGGGGAGCTGGGCTTCCCAGGGGGAACCAGCCAGAGCTTTGGAGCTGCCACTGGAAAGCTCGGCCACTCAATTCCGGGGTGGAAGGAGGCAGGTTGTTGGGAAAAATGCAGCCATGCCAGGTTTGCAGGGTTTGCTTGGTGCTGCTGGAATATAAGAACTTGTTTCCTGGTTAACCAAAGGAGTGTTTGGGCTGAGGCATCTGTAGTAAGTGCCTTTTGTCAAATAAGAGTAAATGTGGAACATTTAAATGTATGGGACATTATTTTCCTCAAAAATATTTTTTCCTTGACTATTTTCCATTTTTCCTCTCATTGATATAAATACAAACCCCATGTGCAAGAACATGCTATAACAACTCTGCTCCTTCAGGGTAATTCTGCTCTGACTTCTCTTTCCCATGTGAGTCGAGGTGTGGGATGAAGGAGCTAGTTTCCTGCTCCAAAGGGTGACAGGTTGTTTTTTCCTGCATCATCAGACACCTCTTGCACTGCTGACAGCTGTAGTAGCTGGAAGCTGGAATACATTCAAAGGAATATGAAATAATGTGTCTCCAATTCAAAAGTTTTATCATTAAACCATAGAAGTTGCCCCGGGTTACAGCCACTGTGCTGGTGATAATGGGATTTTTTAAAAGGCAGAGAATCAGGGAATGGTTTGTGTTGGAGGGGGCCTTAAAGGTCTTCTAATTCCATAGAATATAGAAACCAATTCCAAGAAGTAAGAAAATGTCTCTCTTCATTAGAGGGCAATGCTGGCTTCAGCACCAGGGGGATGTGTGCCTGGGATCAGCCTCAAGGATCAGATCAAGGGGCTTTGAGGCCCCTTGGCCATCCTGTGGCTTTCCCTAATGCCCACCTAGAATGCTCTTTTCCTCTTAAAACCATTTGGTAGGGTTTTTATGGGACAGGGAGGGCAGGAAAGTGTCAGGCCCCCTCTCTGGCTTGGCTGCCCCATGCCAACATCCAGCCCCTGCACGGAGCAGGACTCCCAGGAGCACTGCCCAAAGAGCCACCTTCCAGGTGCACCTGGCTGCTGCAGCATCAGGTGGACAGGATGCCACCCTCCATCCTTCAGTTCTGAGGGCATCACTTGGTCCTCTAGAAGCAGGCTGCCCAAAATCAGGGGGCAGAGACCATCCCGTCGATGGTCAGGGCACTGCTGGTGCTCGCTGGGCATCGTCACCTCTCCGGCCCCCCTCAAACCCACCCCCTGTCATGTGTCCTGCCTCCCTTTTCTGTGCTGATCCAACACCTCTGAAATGGCTGTTTTTATTTAATTAGTGATTTTACAGCAAGTCCCCAAGGTGCTGCAGTACCGGGGAGGAGCTTCAGCACAAGGCAGAGCAGCAGCTCAGCGAGAGGGGCAGTTGGGTCTGTGGTGCTGCTGGTTCCCTGGCACACAGGCACCTGGAAAAGGGAATTAGGGGCTCTGGAACAAGACAGAAGAGCTGAGAGGTCTCCCTGCACCTGGGGAAATGGAGGTCACCCTGAGGAGAGACACAGTTATCTTTGGCTGGACACTGCCTTTCGCCACACAGGCCTTTCTTGCTTTTACTTTATGCAGGTTCAGTATTTTATTAATTTATCATTTCCTAAATTAAGCTTCTAAGCTCTCATGGTTATTTCTAAAGGGAGGTTAAGATACTGTTATTTTGAAATAGCTGAAGTGGGAAGGATTGGAACATTTCCAACTTGTTTTTCCTCCCCCCAGAAACACTTAGCAGAATATTTGTCCAAACAAACCTCTTCCTATGGACCGTTTCCATTACAATGGGCAGGCAGTTTCCAGACAAAAGATTTCCACTGAAAAATTCCTCCTCAAAGCTGTTGAAAACCCA